TCACAGTTTATCTTTATCTATATTAATATTCAAAATAACCAAAAACTGCAAAATTTCCTTAAAATTATCTATACAGGGGTAGCAACCCAACAATGAGTTGTCTGATTCGTCTGAAAATTTCGCGGCAGATAGATCTTCACCTGATGAACATTTTAAGATTTGCTCTAAATGCTTTAGTTTCAGAGATAAAAGCCAAAAACTGCATTTTACCCCTATGTTCTATTTTTAACCATGTCGGTCATGTTGGTTGGCAGCGGAGTCATCTGACACATTTTTTTAAACTTGATACCCTAATGATGATTGTGGCCAAGTTTGGTAAAATTTGTCTCAGTAGTTTCAGAGGAGAAGATTTTTGTAAAAGTTAACGACGACGGACGACGACAACGACGACGGAAGACAGACGCCAAGTGATGGGAAAAGCTCACTTGGCCTTTTGGTCCCGGCCCCGGCGCCATAAAACTATTTGAGTAATTTTTTTTTACTCAGCCTGAGAATTTTCTCAATTTTTTTATTCTCAGCAAAATACACCGCCATAAAAAAATTCTCAGATATTTTCTTACTCAAACTTAAGAATATTCTTAAATATTTGAGTATAGCCAAAACCATACTTAAGTCAAGACTTAAGTATATAAAACAATGGCTGCTGTCCATGTACGCCGTCTAAGAAATCGTCATCGTCGTCGGAGAAACCTACCTAGGCCAAGAGTTTTTAGGGACAGGCTCAATCCACTCGAGTCTTTAGATGACGAGGAATTGTTTGATAAATACAGGTTTCGTCGACCAACTATAACTTTCATCCTAAATGGAATTCACAACTTTCTTCATCGTGAAACGAGAAGAAATTTTGCACTTTCTCCAGTGATCCAGCTTTTGTTATTCTTGAGATTCGTGGCAACCGGCACCCACTTGAGTTTAGTTGGAGACAGTTTGTGTATATCGGAGTCGGCAACTGGAAGGGCATGCAGAGACGTTTGCCAGGCCATCATTACCGTTTTCCGGAATATTATTTGTTTCCCGGTTGGCGAGAAGGCCATTCAAGTAATGGAGGGATTTAGAAGAATTGCTGGTAAGAATCTGTCCTCTATTAGTATGTATCTAGTCATCGTTTCACATAGCATTTTTCCGAGTAATCGTACTTTCACACGTCTAAACCGGTTGACGCCCATGACCACTATGACTAGTATTGGGGCACTCTTTGAGGGCACTTGTGTTCATACAAACTAAATTGATTTTTTTATTTGACATTATGTGGCATGGTGCCTGTTTTTCTGACCTTCTTTGCCTTTCCCGGCTTTGGACATGTAATTTGTAAACATTTGCTGTACGTACCTAATATATAATACAGATTTTTCTAGACAGTTTCATTGGAAATGATGAAAATAATGATCGTAAGATTACCAAACAAAATTGCATTATGTAGATTCAAAGATATTATCATAATGCACAAATATTTGGAGAATTTTACAATCTGTCAGGAACCCCCCAAAAAAAGCGTCTGCAAAATGTTGATAAAAACGACTTCGGACTTCCGGCATCCGGATCAACATGATTGCTTCGTACCTCGAATTGCGCCGTCCCTAATTTTTCGATTTTGTTTGTTTTATGAAATAAAATCCAAATCCCTTTATGGTATGATCCCTCCCTCTTGAACAAGAGTGCACACGCTGAAATGTCTCACTTTCTTTACTAACCATTGATAATATGTTGATAGTCCTAAATATAAAGCTTTACTACAACTATCACATAAGCTTAACTTGATCCAAGTAAATGAGGTCAAGGTCATATAAACTAAACGAGAAATACATGTACATCTTACAATCATTCAATACACTAAATATAGTTTACCTATTGCTTATAGTTTCTAAGAAACAGACTTAACCAAGAAAACTAAACATTGACCAATGAACCATGAAAGTGAGGTCAAGGTCAGATGAACCATGCCAGGCAGACATGTACATCTTACAATCCTTCCATACAACAAATATAGTTGACCTATTGCTCATAGTTTCAGAAAAAGACACCAAAAACACAAAAACTTTACACTGAGCAATGAACCATGAAAATGAGGTCAAGTTCAAACCTGCCAGACTGACATGTACATCATAAAATATTTCCATACACCAAATATAGTTGACCTAATGCATATAGTAGCGAGTTCAAATAAATTTTATATTTTCCGACAATGTACATATATTGTTTTTATCCTGAAATTTACACCCAACACTTGAAACATTAGTTGTTAAAATCTAAATCATTGTCTCTAATTTTTCAAATAAATCTACATAGTTTAAACGCGGACCGCGAAGAGGACCCCAAAATGAACTGGTATGCAAAAAGAAATATCCACATTACCGCTTGCTCAACATGGAAGCAGGGTAACAGTGTAAATACAAATAAATAAAAATAAGTACAAATTCCATACACCAAATATAGTAGACCTATTGCATACAGTATAAGACAAGAGTGCACACGCTGAAATGTCTCGCCTTCTTTACTAATCATTGATATTATGTTGATAGTCCTAAATATAAAGCTTTACTACAACTATCACATACACATGATCCAAGAAAATGAATTCAAGGTCATATAAACCAAACAAGAAATACATGTACACCTTACAATCATTCAATACACTAAATATAGTTGACCTATTGTTTATAGTTTCTAAGATACAGACTTAACCAAGAAAACTAAACATTGACCAATGAACCAAGAAAATGAGGTCAAGGTCAGATGAACAATGCCAGGCAGACATGTACTACAGCTTGCAATCCTTCCATACAACAAATATAGTTGACCTATTGCTTATAGTATTAGAAAAACAGACCAAAACACAAAAACTTAACACTGAGCAATGAACCGTGAAAATGAGGTCAAGGTCAAATAAAACCTGCAAGACTGACAGGTACATCATAAAATATTATAATGAAATGAGGTCGAGGTCAAGTGAAAACTGTGTGACGGGCATGAGGACCTTGCAAGGTACGCACATACCAAATATAGTTGAACTATTGCATATCGTATTAGAAAAAAAGACCAAAACTCAAAAACTTAACTTTGACCACTGAACCATGAAAATGAGGTCAAGGTCAGATGACACCTGCCCGCTAGACATGTACACCTTACAATCATTCCATACACCAAATATAGTAGACCTATGGCATACAGTATAAGAAAAACAGACTAAAACACAAAAACTTAACTATAACCACTGAACCATGAAAATGAGGTCAAAGTCAGATGACACCTGCCAGTTGGACATGTACACCTTACAGTCCTTCCATACACCAAATATACTAGACCTATTGCTTATAGTATCTGAGATATGGACTTGACCACCAAAACTTAACCTTGTTTACTGATCCGTGAAATGAGGTCGAGGTCAAGTGAAAACTGTCTGACGGGCATGAGGACCTTGCAAGGTACGCACATACCAAATATAGTTATCCTATTACTTATAATATGAGAGAATCTAACATTACAAAAAATCTTAACTTTTTTTTCAAGTAGTCACTGAACCATGAAAATGAGGTCAAGGACATTGGACATGTGACTGACGGAAATTTCGTAACATAAGGCATCTATATACAAAGTATGAAGCATCCAGGTCTTCCACCTTCTAAAATATAAAGCTTTTAAGAAGTTAGTTAACGCCGCCGCCGGATCACTATCCCTATGTCGCAGGCTTGACAAAAATGAGATAATATAGGGGTTGACAGGAAATAGTAGTATTCACTGTCTCCATTATTCCACTTTACAGATACAGTTCGTTTTTTATTAATTTGAGGGCTATTGAAGCTCCATGTATTTTTCAAATATACTTCACCGATAATTAGGACTTGAACAGAGATTCTTCAGGGAAATTATAAGTCAAGCAAAATAATGGGTACATATTCCACCGTGTGTGAATTAGAATGTTCACTAACCTAATCATAAACTTTAATAAGCCATGTACAAATTCTAAAAGTCCAATATTGAGGGGTTTGAGTTACAATAATCTCCCTAGAAATGAGATGTTCAGACACTTATATAATAACATAACATCATTAACTAACCGTATGTGGCTCCTATTAAACTATTCTGACTTAATCAGAAACATTAAACATGAAAACAGACCTTTTATAGCTGACTCTGCAGTGTGGGCTTTGCTCATTGTTGAAGGCCATATGGTGACCTATTGTTGTTAATTTCTGTGTCATTTGGTCTCTTGTTGGCAATCATACCACATCTTCTTTTTTATATAGTCAGGAACCTGATGTTCAGTGGCTGTTGTTTGTTGATGTGGTTCATAAGTGTTTCTCGTTTTTATAAAGATTAGACCGTTGATTTTCCTGTTTGAATGGTTTTACAGTAGTCATTTTTGGGGCCCTTTATAGCTTGCTGCTCGATGTGAGCCAATGCTTATTGTTGAAGGCCTGCTTTGACCTATAATGGTTTACTTTTCCCAATATTGAGTTGGATGGAGAGTTGTCTCATTTTCACTCATACCTCATCTTCTTACATTTATATAAGCACAAACTTTTTTATGCTGACGCCACTGGAAACAGTATACCTTTGTCCCACTTTTTTCACTCTTTGCGTAGGCAAGACAAAAATGAATTAAGACTGAAATCATGACTAAATTTCTGACACAAAAATGCACTGTAAAGTCAACAGTTTCTGTTTGTCTGGACGTTATTCAATGCTGATAGCCATCATTTAATGATAAATGAACATGGTCTTCAAAAGATTAATACTGACTAAAATAAAATTCATGACAACAATAAGAATACATCACATATACTTACGCACACACACCTTCATCTATATTGATTTCATGTTATTGATATCTAGAAGACACCAGAGACAAGAATTTAAATACATGTTTCAGGCAGGGATTCAGACAGGGCGTACACACTGATCTAAAAAATATTGTTCTATAAAAATATTTGGGACTTAGGGCTAAATTTAGTTAAACCTCCTTCACTAATCATAAATCCTCTACCACCTCCCCCCGACCAGTACATTATGTGTGAGTATAGTTTTCAAACATGTGGATTTTAGCCATTTTGTACTACGGCCTCCTACAACTATATCTTTGTTGCAAAATTAAGGATTCACATTGATTTATTTTTCACGTTTTGTGATATACCTCTCAGGACTTTTTAGTCAATGGGCCAGATGTCACTCAACAAACAACACCCCCCTTCCTTTCCCCCTTAGCATAAACTATCAGTATTTATTTATTTAGTGAGTAGATTAACTATGTATATATAACAATAGGGTACAGAATCAAATATCCAAATTAATAATTGTACCAATTTGCACTTTATACTGAGCACCTTTCAATGAATTATTTTTACTTGAAGGATTTCCGAATGTACTAGGATGCATCGATGGAACATTTGTCAAGATTATCAGCCCACATGAAAATGAAGCGGACTTTGTAAACAGAAAAGGAGTGCACTCTTTAAATATTCAAGTAAGGTTTTAACATTTACAGAAAACAATCATTCAAACAATATGGTAACTTCTTGTGCTGAAATAATCTTAAATTTATTCTAAAAGAAGCCGAATCATTTAAACTTACATTGTACCCAGAAAATGAATTTTGGGTCAGCAAATTTGGAAATAGTCTTAAATACCAATAAAATGCTCTGCTGGGCGCAGCTTGATACGACCGCAGAGGTCGCACCCTGAACAGTTGGGGTAAGTATCTACAGAACATTCAAGCTTGATACAGCACTGAATTTGGATTGTGATTAAATATTTGACACAGCATAGGTTTCTGACACAGAATGAATGTGGTCTAAGAACTTAATTTTTTTTAATTTACCTATTCAAACCATATCATTATTATTTGCTTATATATAAATCAGAAATAACCAATTCAAAATGGAAAATTTTAAAGAAAAAAAAGGAAAAAAAGGAAAAAAAATCCCCCCCCCCCCATTTTTTGAACCCCCTTATGATTCATCACCCCCAAACTCAATCCCAGCCTTCCCTTTGTGGTATGGTATCTTGCAGTACAATTTCAGAGACATCCATACATTTGCACACAAGTTATTGTCTGGAAACTAGAAAAATGCTTGCTTTTTTGGCCCCTTTTTGGCCCCAAATTCCTAAACGTTTAGGGCAATTACTCCCAAACTAAAACCAAGCTTTCCCTTTGTGACATGCAACCTTGTAGTACAATTTCATAAAGATCCATACACTTACACACAAGTTATTGTCCTGAAACTAGAAAAATGCTTGTTTTTTGTCCCTTTTTGGCCCTTAATTCCTAAAATTTTGAGGCAATTACCCCTGAAATCAATCGCAGCCTTCCCTTTGTGGTATGGTACCTTACAGTACAATTTCAGAGAGATCCATACACTTGAACACAAGTTATTGTCTGGAAACTAAAAAAATGCTTGTTTTTTGCCCCTTTTTGGCCCCTAATTCCTAAAATGTACCAACTGATTTTTTTTTTACAGATGGTTTGTGATCCAAATTTTAGAGTAACTTCTATGTGTGCCAAATGGCCAGGATCAGTCCATGATAGTAGAATATTTAGAACAAGTGGACTATGTCAACAATTTGAAAATGGTAACTTAATCTCATTTTGTTTGTTCTTGTTAGCAAGACTGTAGAAAAACTTCTAAATTTTCAAAAACTTATCCAAATTTTCTTAGTAACATTAAATCACCATACGCATAGTTTTAAATATCATAGGTAAGAAAACTCCCATTTAATGTCAGAGTACCCTTTCAACCAAAATGTATGCGTTACGACATGTCGCAACTAACAATTTAGTAAAAATATGTTGTCGATATCTTATACGTTTTTTAAAAAGAAGTGAAAATAAGCCAAATCAAAATTTAGAGTATGACCTTGACCTTTGACCTTGACCTAATTTTCTTTATTTTAACAAAGGACCTTAAATCAAAAGACCCTAGGTCTCTATCACTAATGGTTTACCAGTTAGAAATGCATATCACTTATATCAAATTCAAAAGGGGAAATAACTGTCATATGGAGTGTACGAATTGATTCAGTTAAAATTTGACAAATCATCCTGAGGATATAAAGATCAATTAAGTAAAATAAATTAGTCGCTTTCTTTTACGGTTAAGGAGGAGATCTCACCACAAAGAAAACAATGTTTGGGGAGATAACTCTTACAATAAAAAGTCTTCTACTAAACAGGGTCAATCTCAAAAGCGCAATACCTGTTCGATATCATATGCAAAATATCTAAGCGACATCTTGCAGTACCACAAAACAAGTTTTGAAATTTGGCTGAAGAAGAAAAAAAATAATCAGAAGAAATACAATAGGTCTTTCCCCAAAAAAGTGGAAAGACCTTATTATTGTGCTTGTATTTATATGCAACAATAGTGGGGAGATAATTTTGTAGTTACTTCCCTTTATTCATGTATATTCTTGGATTTTCACTACAAATAACTGGGAAGTAGCAGTTTCTATAATTGTTTATGTTACAACCTTTAAATGCTTTAAATTGAGTTTCCAATTATTTGATTTATTCGAAATTCAATCTGTGAATATTACATTGAAAACATTTATTTTAACAGGAATTCACCAAGGATTGTTACTAGGCGACTCCGGTTATCCATGTACCAAATACCTGATGACCCCTTATCTTAGTCCAGCTAACAACTGTCAGGGAAATTTTAATAGAGCACTTTGTAGAACTAGAGTTCTAATTAAACAAACATTTGGTATATTAAAAAGGAGGTTTAACTGTTTGCATGATGGCTTCAGAACAACACCAGAACAGTCTGTAAAATATATAACATCCTGTGTTATTTTACATGATATAGGAATTAACCACAATGATATAATAATAAATAACAATATTGAGGAAATTGCTATTGGAGATTGTAGGGGTGACATTAATATGAACCCAACCTTTGATGGCACCGCAAAGAGAAATGACATTGCAAGACAATTTTTTTGAGTAAACTTTGTTATTTGTAGACATCCTACTAGATTACCAATTTCACATTCTCATTCATGGTTAATATAACTTTTGATCACTAAGAAGATAATATTTAAGTCAGTTAAGAATTCCTAATATGATAGTTAATCTTTTTTTTTTATGTGTTTATAATATTTGTAGATAATACTAACATGGAATTTTCCTAATTCATGTCCGACAGGTAAAAATACATTTTTGGTCTTATTTGAATTAACAAATTAGTATATTAAAAAAAAGGGATCTCTTACACAAAGATTTGATTAGCCTAGCATTATGCAACATATTTATAGCCACCACTTATCTAAAATTTGAAAAAGGGCCAGGATACAAAAGTTCTAAAATATACAGTTGGTTACATTTGAATGATATGGATTTATGTCAAGGTGACAAAAAGGTTACAGTGTTAAACAATATTTACCAAGTATTATACATGTGTTTGAGTGAAAAATAGTAATAATTTTAAGTTATGTAGAATTGAACACCAAAATATCCAGATTTACAGTAATAAACATGTTGTAATTATGGTTCATCTAAAATTTGTACACAATCAGGAAACTCAGACTGCAGTTTACATATTAAACATTGTTTTTTCAAAATATAAACTTCTTTTGCTAATTTCAAATTTTCTTGTTCTAGTTTTATTCTCTTGGTTTCTTCACGTAACCGTTCGTTATCCAAAAGTAAGTTTTCCTCTTCTAACTCTGCCAAAGTCCTTCTTCCTCTTTTTATGTTTCCTAGTGACATGAAATATAAATTTCACATATTAAGGTTGTTATCAAGTTATATAAATGTACATTCTTTTTGTATTTCATGTTGAATCTGCTATATAAGCTGTGTCATAAAATAAGTGAATATAAAACATTCTAAATAATAAATCACTAAATCCATTTCATGACATCATGAAAAATAAATTTTATTTATCAAATTATACCATATATGCAAATTAAAATTGTGCAATATGGTTGTTAAAATTTGAAAAGAGTTAGTTCCCCTCTATTTGTGACATATATTTTCATTTTCATATCCTTCAAAAATATTCATCTTCATATATTTGTTTTATTTCTTACCAGTGTTTAGATAATATTGTTTTAGTTATCTATACAATCTTCAAAGAAAAAAAATATGGAAAAAAAACATTTCATACAATGAAGTATACATTTTTAAGCTCTTTGTATGCAATAAAACTATCAATAATACTATTTTCCTCTTATTTTATTTGCCTTATATGTAGAGTCCAATAACCTCAGTGGTAGAAGGAATTTTTAATTATAATTCTACATAAATAAATATGTATTACGATTGTACTGGATATGGTTGGCTGGAAACTAATATTTAAGAAATAATTCTTTAATGCCATGCTATATGATCATTTTAACATGGGAAAGCATTATATTTGTCAATATCTTAATACCGAGCAAAAAATTCGTAAGGGTTCCGCGGAACCCAGTGTCTCGCCTACTTTTGCTGTTAATCGCAGGCTCAACAAAAATGAGGAAAAAAATTAATAAAAATATTCCTCTCTATAGTATCTTTTGATTGTAAGTAGCTTCTGTCCAAGTTTGGTAAAAATCCAGGATAGTTTATGAATCTAATAAATGTTTAAAAACTTAAACTGCAGACTGTATGTAATGTTAACTGGAAGAGAAACTAAGACCATTTGTAAGTAAATTACGGAAAAAATGGAAAAAAATTTTAACAAAATTTCCTTCTAGATACTGGCTTTTAATCATAAACAAGCTTCTGTCCAAGTTTGGTACAAATTCAAGATAGTTTAAGAAAGTTGTTAAAATTTTAAAAACTTTAACCATAGAGTGAATGTAATGTTAACTGGCAGAAAAACTAAGTCCATTTATCATGTTTATAAGTAAAATACTAAAAAAATGATTTTTTTTTTTACAAAATTTACTTCTGGATACTATCTTATGATCATAAACAAGCTTCTTTCCAAGTTTGGTAGAAATCAAGGATAGTTTAAGAAAGTTATTAAAATTTCAAAAACTTTAACCACAGAGTGAATATTTGTGGACGCCGACAGAATGTAAGATCACTATGTCTCGCTTTTCCAACAAAAGTCGAAGGCTCGACAAAAATCAACAGTTTATCGATTAAAAAATGAACAGGAGCTTGTAATTCAGTGGTTGTCGTTTGTTGATGTGTTACATACTTGTTTTTCATTTGTTTTTTGTACATAAATTAGGCCATTAGTTTTCTCGTTTGAATTGTTTTACATTTGTCATTACGGGGCCTTTTATAGCTGACTATGTGGTATGGGTTTTGCTCATTGTTGAAGGCTGTACGAAGGCCTATAGTTGTTAAAGTCATTTGGTCTCTTGTGGAGAGTTGTCTCATTGGCAATCATACCACCTTCTTTTTTACAGAAACATTTAAACTTAGTTTTAGAATCATTTTATTTAATTTCCTAGCTAGCAACACCCACAAAAATGTCCATGTTAATCTGCGGTGTGGTTCAAAATGCTACTGACGTTGCAATTTCAATTGTAACGTCAATCATGTGAATCCCATGTTTTATTGGAATTAGAACATGGCTTTGTATCCAAAGCCATATAAGAAAGTCATATGAGAATCCATGTCTGTTATAACTTTTGAAAAAAAATTTGCCCTATTTTTTTGGAAACTTACCTTTACCTTTTGGGTTAGATCTTGGTGTACTTGTCTTTTCACCATTTTGTCCTATAAAATAAAAATTTCATGTAAACATTCATAGATTTTTATGACATTTTACATGGACGAAGACTTAATATTCAAATTCAATCCCCATTGATATATTGTAAAGAGGAATACAATTTTACAAATATATAGGAAAAGCCCATGTTTAAAAAATGAAACATTCATTTGAATAATTAAAATGAAAGTATAGCCTTTGCACATTTGCAATGTATGAGTATATGGGATCCATTATAATTTTCAACAAATTCTTACTTTATTATTCAACTATTCTGTTTGCAAAAACACATGAACGACAATAATACAGAAATGAAATATTTTATGTAATATATGTTAAAAATGTTGGATATAATTTAGTATAATATAGTTTCTTTAATTGATGACTTTGTCTCAAGATTTCCCATATAGGTGCGGTATATGTAACAGATTTAATGTAATTCCTGTATTTCCCAAATTTTAAATAGATTATCCTATCATACTTATACTTGGAATTATATGTTAATAACTTTACCCTGTTCTTCCACTACATTTGTTACAGTACATGTAGGTTCTTTGTCAGCTTCAGCCTGTCCATCAAGCTCCTCATTTGGTGTAAATTCTGAAATGTAATTGGATTATTATATATGTTAATTGATTTACTTCAACTTCGGAATTGTACCAAAATTGACACAAACATGACAATATTTTTGTTGTCATTTAAACATTAACTCTAGTTGTTTTCACTAATACTTAGTCACAAGCAACAGTGAGGGAAATAATACTGATAAAATTGAGAAAGGAAATGAGAAATATGTCAAAGAGACAACAACTCAACCAAATAGCAGATGACCTATCTGAACCTTTCACACCATCACATTGATTGTATAATAAGATATATATTTTAATGGGAAACTAGTTTCTTTTTCTGTTGCCAATTTATGCATTTCATATTAATTGGTTGGAGCAACAAACCTTTATATGTGTTTTCTTTTATAAATATCACCAAGTCATTGATCAAAGAAGGTAAATCAGGTTTTTTTAAATCTCTAAGGCAACTGTATGTTTGACATAGGTAGTTCACCAATAAATCACTTTCAGACTCATCTTGGTCCACTTCACTCTGAGAAATTCCTTTTAAACTTTCCATAATGTGAAAGTCATTAGCTCTAGGGACTGGTGTTACAACTGTGTGAGTGTTCAAAAAATTTTCTATTTTTACTGCCATTTTCTTGGCTGTTGTCACCAAATTTCTTTCTGAAAAATGAGACAATGGTTGAAATGACTTTATTCATTTCATATTTCAATGCTTATTAACTTCTGACCTATATCAAGGTGTATTTCAAGACATATGACAGGTTGGTGCTTATTTATTGTAAATTTAAACTTGTCATTATGGGACTTCAAGCAGTGACCATTTTATGTAAATTTTGCTTTTTTCTTAAGAAAGTGTAAGATTGAGAAACAGGACAGGCAGACATCCCTGAGTAACAATACTTGTCCCTCAATAAATGTTAGTTAGGTTGGAGATGAAAATCGTACCCATGAGCATCTGCAATATTCAATCCTCTTTCTTTCATATGTGTTTATTTCTTACACAAGAAGCTTGAAAACAGCAAGCTGAAATACATGTATAAAGAAAGAAGAAGAGATTGTAAAAAATAAAAGTACCTGATAGTTCTTTGTAGAGATCAAGAGCCTCCTTCTGTCTTGTCATCCAGGATCCAGAAGATTCAGGTTGGGATGCAATTACTGAAATAAGACATATACTATTAGTTCTCATTTCAGACGAAATAACACATGTAACTGACTGACCAACAGTCCCACAAATAAAACCTTTAATTCATATGAAAAAATAGAAAGTGAAGAACGACAGATAACTGGTTTTTAGGCTCTTTAGAGATTATGTTACATGTGTTTATTATGCATCGACAATAATCCAAAAACTTAACTATTCATATTGTAAAAACCATCATATGATAATTTTATTGCATTCATGATGCAACACAGAATTTATCAAATGCTGGATATAATTGTATTCAGTTTTAGACTACTTATACTTTATTATTCACAGACTTTTATTAATAGAATATGTAATTCTGGTACTATTTCTCACATTTCACAAGCATGTCACAATTTAATGTCAAAGAGAATCAAAGTGATCATTGTCTTGTATATAATACTAACTATCAGTGTCTACACCCTCTGGCAAACCAGTCAGCTGCGTATGGATATCTTCCAGCATATGACTGATGAGGAGTTCCTCTGCCTGGGTGGTTTTGGCAGCAGGACCTCCTCCTGTTTTTGGTCTCTTTTGCAGGTCATATTTTTCTTTACCTACAAAACATATATTTCTCAAATAAGGACAAAAAAATATTACATCTTTGAAAAAAATAGGGAAGGTAGGTAGGATTTTTTTCTTATTTTACCTTTTTTTTTTACATTGAGTCTATAATGAGGGACAATCTGACTTTTAACAGTGCTTATTGAAAAACAAAAAAAACAAAACTTTAGGGTAGGGTATTTTTTAGCTTAAAAAATAGGGTGGGTACCTAATAGGAAACACACATCTTTTTTTATTTGGCCTAACAAGATTATTAGTTACACAGTGTGCAATTGTCCTCATATGAGAATTTATCAGGTCAATAAAACTCATATCGGGTGAGGCCAAGCCAAACCCGATATGAATTTTATTGACCTGGTAAATTCTGTATTAGGACAATTGCACACTGTGTAAGGAATTTATCCTGATTTTGTTATATTACATTATGTCATATTATGATATTCAAATTCAATTTTTGGGACAATATCAACCAAATATATATAGATTTTTAATATAAAACTATGAAAAATAAAAAATATTAGGACTATAAAGCAACTCAAAATTATTTTTTTTTTATTAGGTCAATGGTATAAGGGATTAAAGGGGATACAAATTGTACTGAAATTTAATAGGACAATATCAGACAATCAAATTGCGAGAAATTACTCTAAATCAGGGTAATATTAAATATACAATTATAAAAATGTCTCAAGGATTTCACATCACAAGGAAAAAATATTGACCTTTGCAGTTCTGATGTACATTTTGAATATAGCATGTAATGTTAATGATTTGCTTAATTTACTTTTGTTTTCTAGTTCCCATTAATTGAAGCAAATTGAGCAACAAACTGTTCAATTTTTATGTTGCCTTGTAATAAATCAGATATATTGCCAAACCATATTATAATGTCCATTAAAGAAATAGTGGCATCTACATGTATAACAAGTATAAACACAACATGAAAATATTGAAACTCATTTTACATTAAACTTACTTCTTTGTTTTAAGTTATAGTACTTCTTCTTTACTTCGTCAGATGTTCTTTTACGAACTGTAAATCTTCTGCATAAGAAATAAAAAGCAAAATGTTAATGAATAATAGGAAAATGAACTCTGATACTTAAAGTTTATTTCTTTATAAATTAATTTTGGATGTACATGTAACACTGTATTCATGTTGTCTGAAAGTCTTTTGTGTATTACATGTAGCTCATAGACATAATTTTGTCATGTTTTTGTGACATCATGAACCGTTTAATTCATGATTTACTCATTTAATATACATACTCCAAATTTCAACTATAAAGAACGACTAATACTCTTTCGGTCTATTTAAAAAAAAATCAAAAATTTGGTGTACACTATTAATTAATTTGCTATGTGTGTGATCCACGTTTTTAATATTATTTCTTCCTGGACAGAAAAGATAGTACAGGTAAACCTTTGGTGGATATATTAAATGATTTTTTTTTCATCATTACGATCCTAGACAGCCTCTGTTTATTCAAAGCAGTAGCTAATCTAAGTACATATCTGTAGCAATGGAGCTTTGTTGAGGTAATTACATGTAGTTTTCCAAGAAACTACATGTACATGTATATTTTTTTATATATAATAAGGGAACAACCAATTAACTTCAAAGGGGGTATGTTTTTTTTTTTTGTTTGAGTCAGAATTTTTTTTTTGCATAGTGTGAGCAGTTTTTCAAAATGCTTTAGATCTTGTTATCAATCAACAATCAAATAATATTTTTCAAGATTTCACACTTGACATTTTTTTCCATCAAATTGGGGATCAGAATAATATTTAATGAAAAAAACATAACCCATTCCATTTTTTTAAGTTAAATTATCGTTCCCTAAGGTGCTAAGTAAGTAAGTTATAGTTATCGGATTATACGCGCAAAACATTTATGATTATGTGACTACTTGGACACCAACATGAGGGGCCTTATCAATAACATTCGCATTTACTGTTCAAGATATATAACGACGAAGAATCTTATACAACCGACATTCTCATTCTGAAAACGTTTGAGAAATTGGGAAAATATGGAGAACCTACGCATTTAGTATGTCACATATCTCTTTCCATGCATTTTGCCTTATAGTGGCGATTTTCACATCGCCACAACCTTTCATCTTCCCAAATAGGGAATCCTCCCTCAGATTTGCCTGATATATCAGAGCTAGCTCTTCATCAGTGGTCCAATTTGCTCCTCTCTTATTTTTTTCTGCCATAATGACAACAAAACTTACCTTGACAGACGACTTTCTCATCAAATCTTACCTGCATTTTCGCGAACTTTAGCACTCTTTTCTGGTTTTCAAACACGAAAGAGTTCCGTTTGCCGCTTACATCGTCGAGAAAAAAATTCTCAGCTGAGAAAAAAAAATCTAAAAAATTCTCAGCTGAGAATATTCTCAACGTTGAGAATATTTTTTTATGGCGGATAAAAAAGTTCTAATTCTTAGCTGAGTAAAATAATTCATTCTGAGAATATTTTTTTACTCAGAAAATAAAAGTTTTATGGCGCCGGGGCCAGGTGAGCTAAAAATGGTCAAAGTCACATAACTCCTGTAAAAATTGTCTAGTCAAACTGACAATATAGCACTAGCAGGGGGAGGAGAATATGACATTAAACAATCCTACACGAAAACTTTATTGCAAAAATTCTAACTGAGTATTGATGTGCTTAAGACTCAGGACTAAGGGCTCAGGGAGAGATAGAGGGACAGAAACCATTACCATTTCACATGCCTGGTAATTACAAATAAATAATCAACACACTTTATTAAGTGGTAATAATCACTGAATCATCATTAAAATAAACTGTTAACAGCGAGATATGTCTTACCTTTTTGTTATTTTGATGGTAAAATGAAAATGTTGAAATTAAAATAGCTATACTTTAACATGTATATAAGTTATGCAAAATATTCAAACTCTCTCTTTTTTACTCTGTCAAGGCAAGACAACTAGAAAACTAGAGAGTCAGAGCTTATTTTAGTTTATTTTTGTAAGTAGACACATCAATAAAACTGTTATAGTATAAGGGTGAGGTTGTCTCCCTTGCATCATGTTTTTACAGCTTTTTCAATTTGACATTTAAATTATTAAATCAGCAGTAAAACATGTGGTGCAGTTGTCTCCCTTGGGAGAGACATAAAAGATTGATAGAAGCAACACTTACATTGTCTAGAGTACATAGTAACATTTGTAAGTACTTGTAATCAATTGATAGTGAAGTTGTCTCCCCTTTATCACTAAATCTTCATTGTTCTTCCACTGTAAGTAAAGATAAACAATTCGGAAATACATCTATGTAGTCTTATTTCCAATATAATAGGAATAAAACTGATCTACTTCACATGATTTCATGATAAATGTGTATTATATATAATTGCAGACAAATCTATTAAACACGAATTTGCACTTTACATAATCAAATGACATTTTTTTATATAAAAAAAAAGAAATAAAACTTAGGATTGCATATCTACTTTACAATGCATGATAAATGTATATTATATATGATCCCAGACAAATTTATTCAACAAGAATTTCCAATATTTATATAATAGTTATTGAAGAACTGGTCATTATCGTGATATATGGACTGCCCACAGGATAGTGGTATTGACTAAGACAGCGATAATGACTGAGCCGTAGGCAAGGTCATTATCGCTGTCGCAGTCAATACCACTGTCCTACGGGCAGTCCATGTATCACGATAATGACCAGTTCTTCAATAACTATTATGTTTATTTCATTGAGGAACCATGTTTTTAAAAATTCTCATAAATTCAAATTGTTCAAAGCAAACTCGAGTTATTGTACGATTTCTATAGGAAAGAGTGAAGACCAGTCATAGTGATAACTAGGTGTCACTGCCATTCATTTAAGTGCAATTTTTCAGTATATGAATAAAAAATAAAGTTTTCTATAATTTTATAATTCTTGTTGCTGAGTAGTTTGTCTCTATCAGCATTGGAAAGTACGGCAAAACGATCATTTGAGTTGTCTGTAGCAGACGTGCCTTCCAGTTCAGCCATGTTCCAAACGTCTGAATCGCGATTGCGATTTAATAAAGAGACATTACTCTAAACAGAGAAACCACGCCCCACTGGTCATTAACATGTAAAAGTCAGTTAACGACCGGTTTTCTGGTCCGTATTTTTCTGTTAAAGTCACCGATGGATTTTTTTAGTAAAGAATAAAGAATGTCATGTGACCCCTTGTTATCCAATAAGAGAAGCTAATTCTTAACCGATATGAAATAAACATAATTAAATTACCTTAAAGGATAAAACTAAATACTAATACTTACCTATTTTACAATGATTGCATGATAAACATTATACATGATTGCAGACATATTCAGTTTTCATGAATTTGCATTTTACATAATTAAATGACTTTCTTTAACAGTAAAATGCATGTGTAAGAAATTGAAAAAAATAATGTGCATTTCTTTGGTGTAAATAGAACTAGATATAAACAATTACGACAGATTTAAATACAGTTACCTAAATCTTATGGATTTGATCATACATTGTACTGAATGAGATTTTTTTTAAACAAATTGCAGTAAAATGTATAGTTTGTTAACTTACTTTATCTGAGACACCTCTTTTTAAGAAATGAAGATCATCTAGTGATGATGTGCTTTTTATCTCCTTAATTTACAGGGGCTGATTACAATTGATTAAAAGGGAGCCAGACTAATAAGGATCTGATATAGTATGGATTGGCATGGCGTGTGCTCTAATTCTGAGACCAGCATAACAAAGTATGCTATAGTAGTTACAGAGAACTATAATACATGTGTTATATTTTTCTGTTAATTATATTTCTCTGATTATAGTACAATGTAAACGTTGTACATTGTAGTACTACAATAGTAATAGTCAAAGCTGTGAACAGTATATCTAACGGGAAATGAATCTGATAGGCTTTTCTGTATAAAATTGATAAAATCTCGGACTCCACGAGACTTCGCGAGATTTATGGATACTGGTGGCGTCTGACTGAAAAACAGTATCGGAACTGCTCAATAAATTAACTACATATTTCTAATCGTAAATAAGTACAAGTTTTATCATAAAGTCCCGTCAATATATATGTTCCTGGTCCAAGTGAATTGAAACTATATATATAAAATGCGAATATAGTTATATCCATATACTATAGATTACTATCATAAGTTATACTGGTCTTACTAATAAATAAAAACTCATGAGAGTACTTCAGTAAGGTCATATCAGGTCCCCAGATGTATTATATTTAAATTAAAACACTTCATGCAAGTTCTACAGTAGTATAAAACTGAAACCGAAAGTAGAATACAGAACTTTTGTTTGACTTATTAACGTTTTAAAATGATGTATCTTGATTGATGTTTTTCTTTTGAACAGCATTTTTACCTAATTTTCTACCTTTTACTCTATTTCAGTCACAGAAATCTGGAAGATTTCACCAAAAAGAAGTCGGATGTGTTCTTCTGAAATACAAGGGAGGTAATTATTGATGACAACATTTAGGTTACTATTGTTAGCAGTATCAAGAAGGAAGCAGGACAAATCGCCCCACTGGCAAATCGCCCCACACCAAATCGCCCCACTTTTTCACCAACTCGCCCTACTTTTTAAAAAAATCGCCCCACTTGTGAAAAGGGTTTAATCCCGTTAATTTTTCTCCTGCCAACTCGCCCCACTTAATGAAATAATGTAAACCTATAGATGAATATATAATTTCAGGTCTGCCAACTCGCCCCACTTAACTAAAAAAATCTTATACACAGAATACAAAAAAAACGAAAATTTACTAAATCATTATTATTAACATTGAGTTGGCATGACTCAACTTGATTCATCAGGTATTTTCTATTTTTCATAAGTGGGTCGAGTTGGCATTACTCAATTCATCAGGATTTTTCTATTTTTCACTGGTTGGGCTAGTTGGCATTCACGTCACAGAAAATACTGATACTCACTTCTTTATGCTTTATTTCAACAAAAAGAAAAGAACTACAAAATAGATATAAGAAGATGTGGTATGAGTGCCAATGAGACAACTCTCCATCAAGTCACAATTTGTAAAAGAAAAACCATTTTGTATAGGTCAAAGTACTGTCTTCAACACGGAGCCTAGCTTGGCTCACATCGAACAGTAAGCTATAAAGGGCCCCAAAAATGACTAGTGTAAAACCATTCAAACGGGAAAAACATGTGTATCTTAGGTTTTAATAGGTATTGATTTTATTTAAGTGGGGACAGGAACATAGATATACAACGGGATTGCATCTTTTTTCGTAAGTGGGGCGAGTTGGCATTACTAAATTCATCCGGATTTATCTATTTTTCACAAGTGTAGCGAGTTGGCAGACCTTATATCAGAGGGATTTTTTTCCCTTTTCATAAATGGAGCAATATATCCAACCTATTTTCAATGGGATTTTATCCTTTTCATAAGTGGGGCGAGTTGGTAAACAAAAGTGGGGCGATTTTTAAGAAAGTGGGGCGAGTTGGTGAAAAAGTGGGGCGATTATGTGTGGGGCGATTTGCCAGTGGGGCGATTTGTCATGGATTCTATCAAGAATCATGAATACCTAGAGTCTCCTCGTGGGGTTTTTGATTGTGTGATTACTTAGCCGTTTTTACAGTGATTATTTGATTACCAGACCAAACATTTCATGATTTTTTTATTATTTGAGAATCTAGGACTGTATTTTTTTATTATTTGATTAACTTGTTTAAAAAAATAATTAATTATTAATATGTGATTATCACTGACAAAAAAATTGTGATTATGTGATTTATACTTGGACACCCCCATGAGGAGCCTCAACATATAATATAAATTAATCATAAACAACATGCAGTGTCTGTTCAGGTGTGTGTGGTGGTGGGGGAGGAAATGACAGCATAAGATATAGTTTGAAATAAAATCTCCAGAAATGTTTCAACTCGTCATGCTCGGAAATCCCGATTTTTCGTAAATCCTATATATAGATCTGCCCTAGCTTTTATTTTACAAATAACTTATCTTTTGTAATACTTAAAAGCAAATGGTGACAAATAAAAAATTATGAAATTACAGGTATTCTTCAGTATTGAAGCCTTGTTGACCCAAAGAAGAAGCCGGAGAAGGAGGAAATTACCATGATTAGTTTTTTTGGAATGTAAAATTCCAAGGATTTTTAATGTTTCACATTTGGTTTATGGGTTGTTTTCAAAATCCGTTCATATTTTAGAAAGAGATTTGGAAAATATTTTCATCAAATCAATTCAATTTTAAATATTATAATGCCAGAACTCTTAATAATGTATATGAACAAAATCTAAAATATGCAGTCTTAATGAAACTGGGAAGATCATTTTAAATGAGATAACAGAAATGACGGAATTTGTCAACTTCATAACGATAGCATTTATGTTGATATCCCAATGTTTAGTACTAATAAATGATGACCTTTTCCATAAACATTATAAGTTAAATTTACTTTTTTCTAATTACTTCGGTTATTACAGTGTTCAACATACTATTTTGACTTTTGCTTTTTGTCACCTACATAACGATATTGTCAACTACATAACAAAAATGTCCACTACATAACAAAATTAGGTCAAATGTTATGTAGTTGACCGTTATGTAGTGGACATATTCACACTTTGGGGCATTTTTTAATACCACTGATACTTCATTACAAACACTGTATTTTTTTCTCTATAAAACACAGAACATTGATTATATAATGATATAGATACGGACGTGATGTTCCATTGTTATCTTGAAAAAAAAAATCCCGTTACTAAGTGGACAAGTTAAAAAATACGGGCTACCTCTACTTACTTAAAAGCCAAAAATTGTTGATACCATTTACAGAGATATCTTTTTATGCTTCCATTATCATAATGATATGTAGAGTTTTAACTGAGGCACTTTCTAGATAAAAAAAGGGGTGTCAGAATTAAGCAAAACCGTTTTCGTTATGTAGTTGACAAAATATCAAGAACGCTATAAAACATTAAGATAAATCTGAAACCAAAGCCAACTACTATTTAAAGCCTTAAAGTTTATTATATCAATCTACATTGTATTTTCTATCTTAAAACAGAAAATTGTAAGATTTGGGTAATTATGAAGATGTCTATTTTGATACGATATGTGGTATTTTTGGAGTTTGGATATGCAGTTTGGGGTCATTTTAGAGCTTTGAGCACGATTTCCAAGAAAACCCACGGACTTATTCTTTATTTTTCTTCTGCAAGTAGTAGAACTTACGTTGCACTATGCAGGACACCAAAATTCAAATGATGATAAAGCCGTATTTTCCTCACATGTCAGCCGTACAAGAATATGGACGGATTTTGAAAATGACCCTTATACCTTACTATACGGTATGGGCTATTTGTAATAATAGGAATACAAAAAAATACAATAAAAAAGACGGCTTTTCATTCCATATTGTTGGTTTTCCTTTTCCGACGGCCAAGTTTTTTTGGGTCGTTCCTGCGGTGTGTATCGTTCGCCCTGGTTGTGACTTGTGCAGTTTACATGTTTTAAGATTTCAATGCACGTGATCTACTGCATGTATGACTGGTAATTAAATTATCAATTTCCAAAGATTACTTGAAAACCTTTAATAACTATTATGCCGATAGATGCATGTGCAAAGCTTTTGTTTCTGAATTTAACTGTGTCTGCATTAACATTATAAAAATGGGCATCCTTTTCTTAAACTTGATGTTGTTTATAGAACCCGTTACTTTAGATACGACACATGTATGTTTATTGATCTTACGAATGAACTTATTCTCCGAGGTTGTCATATTTCCATATGTGAAACAGGTGCTCTTTTTATATACACAGTGCTGGTACTCCCTTCACATTTTACATCTTACCATATTTTCATTCAGAAGGGGTTCTCTTTTTATGTACAGTGCTGTTACTCCCTCCAACATAACATTCGACATCTGTTTTGCATATATTTACAATCAATGACACTGTAGATATATCTTTGAATATTATTTGTCTTCATCGGTACTAACGTTGCATGATATTGTTATTCATAAATAAAAACATAACTGACTACCTATAATTATACAGTTATGAGTACTTATGATGCGGTACTATCTATATATATATACTGTCAATATTTCTATTTTGCACAAGGTCATGCTTTCCTCTTAGACTTAGACTTGTTGCCTTTTTTCATTCTGTGATAAAATTGAGAATGGAAATGGGGAATGTGTCAAAGAGACAACAACTCGACCAAAGAGTAGAAAATAGCCCAAGGCCAACCAATGGGTCTTCAACACAGCGAGAAAATATAGCACCCGGTGGCGGGCTTCAGCTGGCCCCTAAACAAAAATATATACTAGTTCAGTGAAAATGGACGTCACACTAAACCCCGAAACATATTAATGAACTAAAATTTTTAAAAAAATATATAAGACGAACAAAGGCGAGGGGCTCCTGACTTGGGACAGGCGCAAACATGCGGCGGGGTTAAACATGTTTTGTGAGATCTCAACCCTCCCCTAAAAAAAAAGGTTGGTTTTTGTTGGTGCCTCTTGCGCAACTGATACACGAGTCAAACCCTTTTCAAACTGAGTTTTACAGTTTGTTTTTAGTCATACTGTTACGACACTGTCCAAGGTTAGGGGAGGATTAAGTTCTCTAAAACATGTTAACGTCGCCGCTTCATTTATGTGGCATGTTAGGAGCCTGTAAATAAGTAGTTGCCTTTTGTTGTTTCTGTAATATTTGTTTTTCGTATCAACTGTTTAAGCATAGATGATTTTTCTCGTTTGAATTGTTTCACATATGGCCATGACGGGTCCTTTTGTACCGTACTATACTGTATGGAATAAGCTCAATGTTGTTGAAGGCCGTATGGTTACACTATTTTTTTTTGGGGGGGGGGGGGGGGGGCTGCCACAAGCGATAGAGTTTTTTACAATTTGAACAAGAATTTATAAAAAAGAAGATGTGGTATGATTGCCAATGATACAACTCTCCACAAGAGACCAAATAACACAGAAATTAACAACTAAGAATAGTTGTTGTTTAATTTTATTTCATCATAATAATGTTAATATGCCTTACACTAAGTTATACTACCGATTTATTATTTGATTCTCATGTTCTGAGTCTATAGAAAGTTGTGTAGCATTTAAACCGATACCATACCATCTAATATTTAATACGTTCAACTCAAGGTTGAAAAATAACAGAACACGTGAAGATATCACATAAGACAACCACTGACAAGTCAGTTTCTTGACTTGCTAGCAGTAACTGAAAGTCAGCTCAAAAGCCTAATCTGCCGAAATACTTCCAAGCCGTCGTACTCTAATATAGGTCGCTTTATCTCACCGTGACATAAAATTTAACGTCATATCAGAAGGAAAACATGACCTTGTTTGATGGCCAGAAGAAACATGTACAGAATTTTCAATACAGAAAAACAAACGCAACGATTAAGGTTTATTTGAAACAATGTTTGTGATG